TAATTAAAAGGGTTAAATTATTTATTAACACTGAAATATGTGAATTGATTTGCATTCAATTATACTCTTGTCAGTGTGTACCAGTGTATCATATTAGTTTTCCCAGTGGAAAACGTTATCAGTCTTTAGGGGCTTTATAGGACCATGGCACTCGGAAATACTTAAACCCCTTAAACAGTAAGGAAATTAGCTTGTTGGATTTGATATACTGAAAAAAATTTACCAAATTTTAATAAATATATATTTAAATAGTACTAACTAAGGTTTAAGGGTTATTAAATCTATTATGTTTCGGGACTCATTAAACGACATCTCATTGCGAATTATTTTATCTGTCTGATACCGATTAAGCGATTGTATTTATAAACGCGCGATAAGAGAGAGTGTACATACGTCGTAGATACGTACAAGATTTAAACGCGATACGCGATCACGTTTGTTGATCCTCTCAACAATGATTTGAATCTGCGGACATTTCATTCGACGGATTTTTTGGGTCGCTGGGAACTCTGAATTTATTATAGATCAGCCGGACCTGTCAGGCAGGTTTTCGAATTTTCGGCTTGTCACAGATTCTTAGGACCGGTGATCCGGTATTGTTGGGCCCCTGTAGTATTTCATCCACGAAGACCCTTGGAGTCACAGGTGTTCGCTACTCCTTCGCGTGTTTAATATATTTCCTGGAATTATTCGGAATGAATTCCGATCAAAATTGTTCAATCATTCCCTAGATTTCTATTGTATTTTACGTGTCTATTGTATTTCTATTGTATTTCGCGTGTTCGGTAGCTTTCTCGTATTCGTCAATCTAAAATTTAAGGAGTTTATCCATTATTTCGATATATTTTTGTCAACTCGTGGAGATGAAAAAAATATCGGATAAACAGGAAGATTGTCTTCAACGCGTTTATTTCGAGTGCTTCTAAAAGAATTGCTTATAATTTGTTTTGAAATCGAGATGTGCATAAAAAGATAATTCTATTACCTCGTTCCCTGTTTAGCACCTAGTCGCTTTCTCATATTCGTCAATTTAAAATTCACGCGATGAATCGCGAAGCATATCGAAATAACGGATAAGCCGAGGAATAAACAGAAAGATTATTATGTTCTATGCGTTTATCTCGAGTGCTTCTAAGAGAATTATTTATAATTTGTTTTGCAGTCAAGATGTATAAAAAGATAACTCTATTCCCTGTTTAGCATCCGGCCACTTTCTCATATTCTTTAATTTAAAATTCACTCCAAGAATCGCGAAATATATCGAGATAACGGATAAATCGAGGAGAGAGAGAGAGAGAAAGAGAATAAAAACAGGAAGATTATTATCTTCAACGCGTTTATCTCGAGTGCTCCTAAGAGAATTACTCATAATTTGTTTTGAAGTCGAGATGTACAAAAAGATAATTCTTTCCTCTGTCATACACCGTTCTCGCGTTCAGTAATCCATTTATCTATAGCTCTCATCCCGCGATTTCCATAATCGCGGCGGTTTCTCGCCCGAGCGCGTAACTCCCGCGAATATGAAGCTTTTATACTCCGAATACATCTCGGTCAGATCTATTGTCCGAACGTGACCGTCTTTGTATTAAAACTAACGGCGTCCGTAAACGGCACGAGCGCGCTAATCTTGTAACTCTCGTTACATAAATCCTCCTCTCGCGTGCGACCCAACGTGTCCTCCGGATTAGAGGCCGATAAAAAAAAGACACTTATCACGTACGACTTATTTGTCAACGTGCGAAAAATAATTCTCGTCGACGAAAGGAAACAACATTTTCTCCGTTTCGTAACGAACGTGACGGGGCGACTTACGGATGGAAAAATAGAGTGATATCGGAATAAATCGACACGAAATGGCGTGTCGAATCGGATATTACTCGTCTAAAAAAAAGAGGAGTAATGATAAATCGCGTATTGAGTGACAGTAAAAAAAAAACAGTACGATTAAAAAAGTATGGATTCTTTATGAGCGATAAAATAAATATATCGCGTCGAGTGAATCAACGTTCGAAATGCTTTTCGTGAGACCGGTAGTAGAGCTTGCTTAGATCAAGCGTAGCCGTGAGCAAACGCTTCTTAACACAATTGGAAGTCTTACGCAATACGATTTTTACGATCAGCTTTTATCGACTTCTACATTTTTTTTCATATTTATTATTCGTGCTTAAATATATGTTTCTTATCGAAATTTTTTAACTATTCTCGTCAAAAAGTTTTTTTTTTAATCGTGATTCTTAATACAATTCCTTTATAGAAATTTAAATTTGATGGTCAATTAATCATTTATTTTGAGTATTAAAAATATTGTTAACAGTAATTTTAATACTGGAAAAAAATGATTAATTAGCCAGTATTAGTATTAAATTTCTGCAATGGTTAGAAATCTTAAACATAATTAGAAATCTTATGCAATGCGAACGGTTTTCACACATTTTCATAATCAGTCTTTATATCGAGTTCTACATTTTCTTTTTTATATACAAGCCCATTACAAGCGCGTTGACCTACGTCTACCTGGCTGGCTCCCCCACTTAAACAAATCTTAATGAATAAATTATATAATAATGCGCTATTTATGCGCTTTCAAAATCTGCAAGAAAAAACTTTTGCGCTCATTCCGTTTGTCTAAAAAAAAATTAGAAAAAAATTTTTTTTTTAGCTAAACGAAGTAAGTGCAAAAATTTTTTCCTGCGGATTTTGAAAGCGCATAAATAGCGCATTATTATTTTATAATTTATACATTAAGATTTTGTTAAGTGGGGGACCAGCTAGACAGACGTCGCTGACCTCAAGCAACCTTAGGTTTATCTTCATTCTTACAAACTGATCTGTACAATGGTTCATATTAAATTGACATGAATACCTAACAAAATGTTTCAATTGTTGTGAATGGTCTTTTTGTGATGGAAGAAAATCATTTCATTTCAAGGCATTTCAATCGTTGACCCTTTATGCTTACATTATGTGACATATTTACGTAAATTTTGAATACAGACAAAAAACTTATTAATAGTTTTTTCTTTCAGATTTTAAGTTTTTAATCGGAATAAATGTATCTGAAAACCCTTTACGTCCGACAGATTGGATCAGGCATTTTTCAATTTCAAATTTTAAGTTCACAATCGAAATCCGTCTCTACGAAAACCCTCCAACGTTACATTTCGCCGAAATCGGGCGACTTTTAACGTTTTCGTTCGCCATATTGGTTCAGATTTTGAATTTTCAAATTTGAGGTTTGGATTCGGAATCAGCGACCCCGAAAACCCTTCAATACTTACTACATTTCACCGAAGTACTCTAACAGCCTCAAAACGAAAAGGGGTTTCAGGGCAGATAACACGACAATTCTCGTAAAAAGAAAAACTATTTTAAATCGTGATTCTTAACATAAATAGAAATCTTACGCAATGCATACGATTTTCACAATCAGCCTTTACAAGTTTTATATTTTCTTTTCGATGTGTCATTTGTCTCTACTTATATTTTTAAATACAAGTTTCTTATCGAAATTCTTAAAATAAAAAAAACTATTTTAAATAGTGATTCTTAACATAATCAGAAATCTTACGCAATGTGTACAATTTTCACAACCAGCCTTTACGAATTTTATATTTCCTTTTTGATTTGTCAATCATCTACGTCCTTAAATACGAGTTTCTTATTAAAATTCTTGTCAAAAGAAGACTTTTAAATCGTGATTCTTAACACAATCTGGAAATCTTACGTAATGTGTGATTTTTACAATCAACTTTTACGAGTTCTATATTTTCTTTTTGATTCATCGTTTGTCTACATCATTAAAATATGAGTTTCTTATCGAAATTCTCGTCATAAAAAAGACTTAAAAATTGCGAATCTTAACACAATTGGAAATCCTATGCAATGCGCAGTTTTCACAATTAGCTGTTGCGAGTTCTATATTTTCTCTTTGATTTGTCATTTGTCTACGTCCTTAGATAAGTTTTTTTTTAATCGAAATTCTTGTCAAAGTTTTGTTTTTTTTTTTTAAATCGTGATTCTGTCGTGACGACTTTTTATCATAACCTTCGCTACAGCCAGGGTCAGCTGATCCCGCGCCCCACAGCAAAACACAACACCTCATTCTGAATTTCTAAAACAGGTTTTTCTCCCCTCCGGGATGTAGCCAGAAAGGAGGTGTGTACGCTCTCCGTCTTTTTACATCGGGAGCGCGGATCTCTCGAATTTTACCTAAATCGCCTACGCTTAAAAAAACCCGCTACCGGGCGAAGGGCAGTAATTTCACCTGCGGTTTAATACGCGCGTCTCGTCGCGGCGTTAAAAGCCGCGATAAAAGGTTGCGCGACGTAATGCACGTCGACGAGAGATGAGAGTAGGCAAGGGGAAGAGAGAGAGAGAGAGAGAGAGAGAGAGAGAGAAAAGGGAAGGGAGAAAGAGAAGAAAAACAAAACGAGCATCGTGGGTGAAAAAAAACTCGATGTACCGTCGTCACCGCCGGCAACAGCGGATAGATCCCCTCCGAGGAGGATCGCACTCGCACGTTCTCGCACGTTCTCGCACGCTCTCGCTCGGTCGGGGTGCCGAGCGTGACCGAAGGCCGGCGCGAGTATCGCCGGAAACGGCCGAAGTGCGGCGTATTGCCGAAACGTCACGTAGGCGATGTTGCTAGGCGGTCGACCGGTGGCGACGTGCGGCGAAGGGAGTGGCGGGGTATCCGCGAGGTGGGATCGCCCGTATAAAAGTCGCGTCAGCGACCGGCGGCCGATCAGTCGAAAGGGTGAATTTACCGTAGATATTTGTCGAGAGCTCTCTCTTCGTGTCGCTCCGGTGAAAGCTTTCGGTGTTCCGGATCCGGTCGCCGATTGTCCGTCGTCAATCTGTTCCCCGTGGCCGCTTTTCTCGCGTTTCCAACCGCCTCGTCCGTCGTTCGTCGTCGACATCTCTTTCTCGAGGAAAATCGCGCTGCCGTCCGGCAAGGCCGACGAGAAAGCCGTGTCCATTGTGCGTCCGCCGCCGCCGCTGCAAGACTTTCTCGCGAAATCATGGAAGTCCTGCCGTGTCCTGTCAATGTGGACTTCAGCAACACCCGAGGTGAGTGCATATAGATATAACGGCTGTCTCGCGACGCCGGTTTCCCTTTAATTCCCCCGTTCTCGCGCTTCAATTGTCGGCCTCTCCGTTTCTCCTCCATCGAGCGAGCCGTTGTTCTCAGCTGACAACGCCGGCTGCAATCAGCTGATTTTTGCTTTCGCGACACGTTTCGTCGGCTGCACCGCTCGAAAAATTTACTCCGATTTCTTAATACGGACGGGGACTCGATTTTCAGGCACACCGGCGATTTACCTGTGAAACGTCGAATTATAGTTGCGTCAGCGTGTCATCCTTCCGATCGTACGAGGGGGAGGGGATGCCCTTCGCTGCCGTTTTTCCATGTTCCTCGATTGTTCTCGTCGCGCTTTCCACTCGCAAACTGTCTTCGGCGTGTTTATAAATGGAATTTTCCTAAAATTTAGCGCTTTCGATCGTCCGATAATAAATAAATACGGATTAACGGACACAAAGAGAGTACTTGAGTTAATTGCTCTTTCAGATCATTATAGAATACAAACAAGGTTTCGTCAGCTGATGATGCAAGAACTATAACGTGAATGTATTTCTTTTAATAGGCAATCGATCATATTTTATAACTCGCTTCGTTGTGAGATTTTTTATTTTCGATCCCAGCAGCTTTGATGATGAAAACGAGAGCTCCAGTAATAATTTCAGAAACGGAAGGGTTGATTGTTTAAATGGCGCGGAACGATGATGTGATTTTTGTTAAGCGCGACAAGGTAGATAAAAAAAAATCGAGGTCAAACGAGTTCGTACGAGCTTACCTCTTCGCCGGCCGCTAGAAACAATGGTCGAGGCAGGCTCGAGATAGAGTCGGCCGAGTGATCGACATACGTCTATTTCTATCAATGTAGATTAACTTTAATCTCAATTTAACTTACTTTCTATTTTTTCGAATTCTTAGAAGCAGAAAAAATTCTTGGAAAATAATTAGAACTGGAAAAGAGTAATAAATCAATTTATCAACTAGGGCCAAAAATGATAGATTTATTTATTTAAATAATAAATTTATTCCATATTTTTTAAATTAACAGGATATCGCTATTGTTCCATAAAAAAAATAAGTTAAACCGACCTGGAAAAGAGTAATATAAAATAAATAAATTTATCAATTAAGACAAGAAAAATGATTATTTATTTAATAATAGATTTATTTAATATTTTGTAAATTAACGAGCAGGACATTTCTATAGTTTGGTAAAAAGTAGGTGAAATTTGGTGAAATTGAGATTAAAACTGATCTATATTGGTAGAAATAGGCGATAGAAAAAAAAAAGAAATGTTACAGTTGAGATATTCTTCCGACGATCACGCATTGATTAAAAAATTGAAATGCCTGGCGAGGTGGGAGACTCGACGTTGGTTGCGTCCTCGCTCCTAACGACTGTTCTTTGTTATGTTGCACAGACGTCGGTTTTAAATAATAAAACGATGATCTCATCGCTCGATTAATCGGGATTATATGTTGCGATCGAGTTAACGCGAGCGTAAAATTAGCTAATATCTAGAATTTACTTGCGGAAATAAGAATCGGCATCGAAGCACCGATTAAAATTATATTTGAGTTCGGATTATATTTAGGTGAAATGGCAGATAACGCGAATTATCATCGAGAAGCAAAATATGTTTTTCCGTTTCGTCTACAGCTTTCGATTATGTCCGACGATATCGGTTGATTTGATGTTAGTGCCTAAAATTACGTCATTTCGCACTTTTTATCTCGGAAGATATTAAATAGGAGGCTATACTTTTCATGAAATATTTTTGTATACTTTGTTATGACATTTTCTGGGCGAAAATTTGTGGGAAAGTTAAATTACGAATTATTATTTAACTTTTATTTAATTTTATTTAAATTTATTTAAATTAAAAAAAATTATTATTTAGGATAATAATTCGTTTTTTTTTTTAGGATAAACTATTATTTATCTTAAATGTGTAATTTAATAATTGTTTTTTAATTTGCATTAACGAGACAATTAGTTCAAATTAATTTCATTTAGGTTTTGGAGTAATTGGGAGAATGACTGTTGAGCTGTCTGTAGGCCTGAAAATAGAAGAAAAAGTGATCTGCCACTTTCTTTTCAATTGACCGCTTTAACGTTTAGTTTATTCGCCGGGAGACTGAGAGAGCGCACGCGCTTAATTTCGTTTAATTAATTGTTACAGCTGGAAGCGAGACGGACGAATTGGACGGTGCCTGTCAGGCGCTGGCGAAGAGGCTGGAGGTTGAACTCAGGAGGGCTAAACACGCCCAGCTGGCTTGCGGCGAGGTCCTCCTACCTGCCGATTTGCTGCCCAAGATAGCCAAAGATGTACTTACGATGGCAGAGAATGAGCCCTGCGGCCTTCGGTAAGTAGAATTTTCCGTGCGTGTTGCCGAAACGACCCTCTCCTTCCTCGAGTAATTCGAATTTGACCAAATCACAACTCGATCCGCGAATCCAGATAAATATTATTTCGCGCAACAAGTGTCCATCTGAAAAACATCGAAAAACTTTTCTCCAAATTGTTTTTTTTTTTTTTTTCATGAGTAATGTTATAGGAAATATCGGTAATTGTATAAAATATTTGGAGCGATCTTTTTTTCCAATGAAAATTTGATCGAGTTTTATTATTTTCATATATTTTTTAATAATTTTATTCGGTTACTAAAAAGATCGATGTTAAAAATAAAAGTGTGTTAAATTTTCCTCGAGTATCTCGATTCGTTATCGCTGTAAATGTTTCTCCAGAATAAATTTCAATTGATATATTGTCTAAATTTTCAATATCTTTGAAAAATTGATGTTTGCTTGTTTCAGAGGCTGTACGTTGTTTATTAGCTTCGAAACGGACAGCATGTGCCGCAAACTGTCGAGAATACAGTGCGATCCCAGTACTGTGTCGACGTTCGAGCTCTATCTCACGCTGAAACAGGACCACACGTCCTGGCACATGCTGCTGCCTCAATTCTTAAAGTGAGCATACACTTAATAAAGTGAAATCTTGCAATTACAATCTGGTTTAAATCATTTTAAATTACTTGTGTTGCAACTTAATTTTATAAAAAAATTATTTAGCTTATTCTTTTGTTCGACTATCTTTAGACTGACAATGAGATAATATTCTAGATAATATTCTAGATTCTCTTGTTATATTTCATAATTAGCTGTTTTTATTTACTTCGACAACATGAAGTGGTATCGCAATACCGCCTTCTTCACTTAGATTGTATGATTAGATCGTATCTAAATAATTTTCATCCGTTCAGCTTTTCCGTTTCCACAAACTTGGCGTTGCAAAATATTGCACATTTTGTAGATAATGCGATTAGCGTGATTGTTTGATATAAGGAAACTTAAAACGATTCGTTGTTTTATTTTTCCAGAAATCTCACACGTGGCGGTACCATCATGATCAGTAGGGACTTCACTTTGCAAAAGAAGAAACTCTACAGGTCTTTCCAGCAATCTCATTGAAGTGTCTCGGGATCACATACCGGGGTTTTGCACGTTGTAACGATCACCCGTTTTGCCTAAACGGGTGCGGCCATTTTTGTCAGTTATTGCCCTATAGGCGTCGGCCAAATTCATACAATATCGAAGACCAGGAAAGAAAAAAAAAACTAAGACGGCGGAAGCAGAGAACCTGAGGTTAGATTTCGTCGTTGTAATGGCACGCTGTAAAATTCGCGTATCATGGTCGCGATCGTGCGAGGTGTTGCGTTTAACCCTTTAACTTGGAGATTACATTTGAATTTTCTATATAAATGACACATTTCACTTATAAGAAACAGTAGAAACTTTTTGAACAAAGGTACTCGCACGTACAAGTGCAGGACTGAGATCGTTCTGTGTGTTTAGAATTTATTCAATGGATGTGTAAAGAAATGAAGTAGTTCGTAGAAATGCTGCTTTACGGTGTAAAAATAGTTGCAGTTTGAACGCAACAGATTTATGAAAGTTAGATCTCGTGTCCAAGATCTAGTGATGTATGGATCTAAAGGTTGAAGAATCTAGACGTCCACAGATCTAATAGTTTAAAAAAATTGGATTTAAAAAATAAAATTCAGACATCTTAACCTGTGAGATTAATCCGAAATTATAAAGAATTCGGCTGAATTACATTTAATTGTAATCTAGAAAATAAGTAAACAATTAGATTCGAAGGACGCTAGAATTAAAAAATATTTGCAAAGCTAGTTTATAAGATATGTAGAATTTGACGATCGTTGGAGTTGAGGATCGTAGAATTTAAGCTTTCCAAAATCTAGGGATCTAGATTTGGAATTAGAAGTATTGTAACGGTAAGGATGAATCTAACATATTTTCACTGTTGAATGGCGATTCAGTTAAAGGGTTAATGACAACACCATCGCTCTTTTGTTCTGCTGTCACCATGCAATACTGTATTCAAGGAGAGAGGCCTATTACGCGTTCGATAATTGTGATAGCGCGCGAGACAAGTTCTAATAGTAGTAGATCTTATATCGCGAGGAGTGGTCTCTCGCATCTTCGTTCTTGAAGAGGATATGTGATTATAAGACTTGTAACAAATTTCACGTGATACGTAGCAAGTATAATTAGTTTTTAGAGCGCGTTTTACTGATTAATCGTAGTCAGGTAGCTATTAGTCGCGTCGGATGTTTAGTGATGATCCTTCGAAGCTCGTGTGTCTCTCACGGACGAGCACACATTGTCCATTTTTCATTGTGAAATGCGAAATGATTATGCTGGAATGTGTGACAGCATATTCTCCAAATAGTAACCTTTTATGAAAATCTTGCAGGATAGTCCCAAAGAGAAATAGATCCTAATGAGACTATCATTTTGTGATTAATCAAGTCACTATTGATATTAACATAAGAATAATTCGAATATATAATCATATAATCGAATTATCTTACATTGAGAAGCGTAAGAACTCGAATAATAATCCACATTTTCCAATTAATTTTTACATTTTCTGTCAAACTTTCGAAAACATTTTTTTCTTAAAAACCAACAAAAGTAATTTCAGTAGGATGTTCTCATAATGCACGTTTTTTGGGACATCCTGTATATCCTGTTGGTAAATGATACAGATGTTCAGCCCATACTGTCATTCCATCGATCGATCTTTCTCCCTCGTCATTTTCTCCCTTCATAACAGTCGCTATGTGAAAAATCTCATTACTTTATAATAACATCTTCTCTCGATGTCGCGATGCTAATTATCATTTCTGCGATATCATTGATAAATATATTAATATTTGTCTCATTACCGGGTGATTCGTCTCGACAGTAATTTATTTAAGCCATCGAATTTGTTGGCGCAAAGCAATATGCTTTTGCCTTCTGTATTGTTAGTGCGTAATATTTTGTTTCAGTTAAATTTCAATATTTCGTGTTTCGAGATTTTGATTCTGCGAATATGAAATTATTTCGATGAATTCTGTGAAAAGCTTGTGAAACTCGTCACAGATTTTTCGTTTAATTTGCGGGACTAAGAAAAGAACCTGTAACGAGATAGAGTAAAGCGGTGCAATTTCTAACACTTCAGAAAATATCTTAGACTTATTACATTAAGTGACAAAAATCAATCTTACTGTCTAACGGATAGTTAAAATTGTGTAAAATCGTATATATATATATGCAGACTAATGGAGTAATTATATATCCACTAAGCTAGATGAACTACATTTCTCGGTGTAATCTGAGAGATGATCCATCTTGAAACTGTATCGCTTCAACTCTGTAGCTTCAAATAGATTTTCACAGAGAAACAATGACGAGATGAGCTCGCTTTTGCTGTTTAACGTGTTGAAAGGGACGAAAGATTAGAGAGAGGATTAACGTTCTGCTATTAAATTATTGTTCACAATCTTCGCTTCAATTTGTCATGTTATTATAATATTATTCGTTGACTACCGTACGTACTACTACTCACGTTGTGGTTAATACCTGTTCGCGTTTTCTTTGTGTCTAGATTTTTTTTACTTCTTTACCCTTTTTTCGTTTTTTTTTTTACTTTGCTTCGGTCGCTTTTCGTCGTAGTGCGATTAAAGACCTTAGTGGCGGTATTGTGATATTAAGAATTACGAAATGATTAAGAGAAAGAAACAAGTGTGTGATTATCGTTAGGATTTAGATTAAAGACGCTCGTATAAAGTTTTCTTCGCGGGGTCGAGAGAAACGTGTTGCGTAGGGATACAATCCCTTCCGTTTTACCTTCGCGCACAAGAGAGAAAAAGTACATTGAAATTGAAAACCTCTTCGTGGTATACTTACAAAGGATGGCGACGCTTTAACCGGTGAATCGAATATTTATATCAGAAAGTGAGATTTCCTTTTACGAACTGAATTACAACAGGATGTGTACCGCAACGAGACTCAATGGAATTAGATTGAACTCGGATTTTTTTTGTGATAATGTGGAGCTGTCTCTTTAAAAATCGGCGAAGCAAAAAACCGATGCTGTTGCAATGAAATTCACTGTTTAAGAGGAAAACTGTATGAAAAGATTTATTTGTATATATTTTATTTTATACGTTAAAATAAATTATAATTTTTATTGAAAAGGAATCTAATCTTTTTCATACGCTCTGTAATACTATTTTAAAATTTGTTTCTTGTAATTTCGTTAGTATTATTGTGTACATTTAACTAATATTTTTTGCAGCAAAGAATTTCGGTTATATAATCTCGTGTATATATATATATTATATATATAAAGTATGTATATATTATAAATTTTCTAATATATATTTATATATTAAAAAATCTGGGAAACAAAGGATTTTCTAAAATTTTTTAAATAAAAAAAAGTAATCTAGGATCTTTTTGCGTATTTCCTGATTTCAATGATTGTACAAATCAAGCAATTTGTAAAATTTCTTAATTTTATATAACGTGTAAGATAAAATTTGTTGCATCTTATTAAGAAAATCGATTTGATGTTACAATATTTAATCGAAAAAATTTACTTTTCTGAATAATTACTAAAAATTGAAAAAATTATTATAATTCGTACTTTAAAATTAGAACAATAGGATATATATGAGTCCAATCTTAATATAAAAAATTCAAAGTTCATATTAAGAAACCGAATTCTTTTTGTGAATTTTTGTCACAGAAAAGAAACATAAAATATCGAACCTTTGGAAATAAATAATTTACGGCGACGAATTTCAAACTTGCTTCTTGATAATCTAAATGATGGAATAGAACCGGTTAAAGCTCTAAAGGGGGAAGAGACACAATCCCGTCCAAAACACTTTCCCACCATCCTCTAGAGTCGTGCATCTACATCCCCTTATTTCATACGAGGACGAAAAAAAGAGAAGTAGCTAGAAAGGTCACGTAAGAATGAGGGACAGCCACATGTAGAGTTAACCGCGCGTTGTAAATTGGGCTATCGCATTTGCACGAAGGTGTAAGACTGATTTGCTGATGTAACAAACGAAAGACATTGGCCCGTCTCAAGCCAGCTGGCATTCACAGTACAGTATGACCGTAAATTATTATCCGAGAAGATACTACCTAAAAAAAAAAGATTAATTATCTTGCAGGATATTTATCTTTAATAAACTGATTATTAAAGAGAAAGAAGGCGACGCACACAAATGAATTATAAATCTAAAAAGATGGATCTCTTTTTTTTTCGGGGAATAATATTTGACTCATACTGTACTTCAAAATGTACTATTATAATTAGCAGTTATTTGTTAATAACAAACGCTACAAACGACATCGCAAGTCGAAATTGTAGCATTACAGAGCGGTGGAAAGCAATACTCGCGGCCTCGTTTAATTGTTATTAGTTAATTACGAATGTACGGATAAATTGCGAGCGGGTATACATTTTACATATGAAAGGTTAATCCTATACAGTATAACACTTCTTTTTTTTATATGAAAATGTGAATGTGTCCGCATATATTATATTATCAAATATATGATATAATTTATATTATATTGCAAATACCGTTTATATAATATATACACATATATAATGATGTATTTTATAACAAATTCGAAGTTACTATGCGAAATAAAGGAGTCAAGTGTGGGAGCTATAAAAAAGAATCACGAAAACTCGTTTTGTGATCATTTTATTTATATTCGATTTTATAATTGAATGTGCGTACTTGTAACACACCTCCAGTGAAGTTTTGAAACCTATTGAGGCGTCCGTTTATACTGTCAAGGTTTAAACGTGGATGGAAACATTTATATATACATGTGCTTTCTAAAATATTATATCGTGATAATACACAATAATGTCGAATGTGACAACGACGGTGATATCGTCGTTAATCACGTTTTTACAGTATGTGAGAATTTTATTAAAGACGTTATAAAAGTTTATCTCATTTTTTTTGTATAGAGTAAGACAGAGAAAACAGTACAAGTTTTTTCCTGGAAAAAGAAATAAATAATTATATTATGAAATATATATATATATATACATATATCATAAATATAATAAATTAATATCTATGACGTTCTCTCAAGGCGTATCCCTAGTGATGATCCTGCGCGAGACACATCGTAAAAGAGAATTGGATAAAGTCTAAATGATAACAAAAATTCAATTACCGATAAGTTACAGCGGCGAAAGTTCCGTCGATCTCGCTTGCGTGACAAGGGGGATTAAAAAAAAAAAGCGCGTTTCCGTTGATTGCCTCCATTATTTATCGTTTGTAGCGATTGTTTCTCGACAAAGCGAACGTTAACAGGATCGATCTGCGAAACGACGCGCGTTACGCGCGCGGATGTTGCAAATTGCGTTGCGCACCGCAGGACGTACTCCCGTTTACGCGCCCCCATTTACGAAGTAATTGTTTTTACGGGCCGTCATGGAAACATTTCCTGATCTCATGAGCGGGCGAAGGTTTTTCCACCTTCGGCAGTGAAATACATAAAGTGCTCATAAATATTCTTGAAATATTTATGTGTTTGTGAATGTGCGTAATAGCGTCGCGATGATGATCGTGTAAAATTTAACCCTAAATAGTACAAAATAATTTAAACATGTACGAAAGTCATTTGACGAGAGTGAAAAAGAGAGTCTCTTAATTTTCGTTCCAAATTGTCTTCTGGACATTCGAGAATTTCTTAAAAAAAAATTATAACAATCAATACGAATACAAAGCTGATAATTTTTTTTCTTAATTTTCCTCATATTTTAGACGCGGAAAGGAAAATTTCTTTTTATACTGTTCAGGGTTAAATGTTAAATTACTGCGAAGACAAGGATTGATGAAGATACGCTCCTCATGGCGAGAGGGTGGAAATGAGAACGAGTTTCTTGTATCGCGAGGGTAGAGAGGAAGAGAAAGAAAGATAGAGAGAGAAGAGACAGATAATATTTGTAATGTTGCACAGCAACGATTTGCGCGACGCTCGCTGTGCTTTGGATATTTTTGTACCTTGCGCGATATGAAAGTCCGATTACGTAGTTTTCGCGATAGTTTGTTCGCGATTAATGCCGCGGCTTCTCGATACGTTAGTGATTCTTTGCAAACGCATTTTTCCGTATTAAGAAATGCTATGTGATGTTATTTCTAATTTGTAATATCTACGACAATTTATGCTGCGTTTGAGAAACGCAAATAACAGAAAGAAATATATCAGAAAGAGTTGTCGATTTTTCTTACTCCCCAATCCATTGTTACTTATTATCATCCTTCTGTCAAGAGATTCTGCGAAAACTTCATTTCCTTTGAAGTAAGATAAGTAAGTACGAGAGTAAAATGAGTAAAAAGATATTTTGCAATTATTAAAATATTATATATGCAACGCGTATTTTGCATGCATTGAACAATACATTTCTCGATAGAATGAAGACACATTAATAAAATTACGATGGAAACTGTTTTTAAAATAGTTGTGTCGAAGATAAATGTAAAGCGACACGCACAATCTATGATTTTAATAAAATTGAGATAGAATTATCAGTTGAGTTTACGTAAAGAGCAACTGGATGCAAACCTGAATTAAGCAGATTAATTATTTTACTTCGTATTAGAAATCGGTATAAAATGTCTGATTCGCATTTTAAAGGAGTTCTACAAAAAGATCGAATTTTAATATATTTATTAGCATTTATTAATTATTATTAATAGTATTTATTAAACCGTTGAAATCCGTACATAATAAGGAGTAATTTTGTCCTAAAGAATAATCGATTCTAAATTCAAGTCGAGGAGGTGTTTATTATTGAAATGTAATACCGGAATTGTGAGCACATATACAAAACAACGTGAATACGCCGACGTAGCGACAATGAAACTGTTATTGCTAGCGAAAAATGTTTTCAACATCGATATTTGCACAGAGTTTTGAGATAAAAAGCTCATGAAACTGGATATCGCGTCGAAACGCGATAGATTGACAATAAGTGTATTATCAGCGGGGGGGAAATTATATTTACGCACACGACGACCCAGGATTATAAATTTACACGCGCTTGTGTAAACGTCGGGGAAATTCATAATTGAACGATTTACGAGATATATTCAAGATACTCGCGAATATAAAGTGCGGGGAGCGTAGTCAGGATTTAAGCTCGAAAACGCTACAGTGCAGTGTGCGGGGGCCGTATTGTTTCAACTAGTTCCCGCAATTATCACGGCGTATACAAGACTGGATAGGAGAAACCGGTTTCTCGCGCGCGCGCGCGCGCGCCTGCGGTCGCTCGGCGCAACCCGTTTGTTCGTGTTTTCATCTTGAAAACTCGTAAGTATTATCGGCATTATTCCGAGCTCTTCTGTGAAAAAATTCTACGCGGCATAAAGCGTAAACCGGATCGGAAAATTGCGCAAGTGTTGCCGATCCTCGAGCATTGATTTAACATTGTTGCACGATTCGCATTTGTTTCCTTTTTTTTTTATTTCGTCTGCAAGTATATTGTATTCTTAATTTATCGCATTATATGGCTCGATGCTCTACCATCGCGAATCAACGGTTTCTTGTGGACAACTTCAAGTTTCTTTCTAACAAAAGTTGACGAAAACTTCAATAGCGGAGCTAGTTTAGTAGTGAAAATTATTTAAACATTTTTCTATTGTATGTATTAAAACTGTCTGTGCAATTAAATCCTACTTTAGCACCCTTACAGAAATTTAATATATTGGAAGGTAGTGATATGAATTATTTATTTTGAATATTAAAAGCATTAAACTCAAACAATCTACCTATTCTTTTTTATTCACTTCTGATCTTTCTTTTTCTTTATCTTTACTTTCTATCTTTCTAATATTACATTTTTTTATAGCTACTCTTGTATTTCTTTTTGTACTAAATATTTTACTCATAATAAATAATTAATTATTATCTTTTAGTATTAAATTGGATTTCTATAAGAGTATTGCAGCAATAAAAATTCACTTGAAGTTGAATGACGAATAAAATACCACTTTGCTTACGTCTCTTCACTTTTGGTATACAAAAAATATATTTAAAAACTTATAGATCTTCTCTGTTATATTTTATAACTCGAAGAGTGTTCGA